ATCAAAATCTTTTAAAATTGCTTTGCATATTGTAGTTTGTTTTCTTCTTTGTTAGTTTTTTGCATCATTCTTGCATGCACACCGTGCTTTGTTCCTTCCCTAAGCATACATTTTGAACGTTTTTCGTAAGAGTGCCTTAAGACGTTCCGTGGTGGTGTTTTACGTAAAAGCACCCATAGACAAGTTTGTCATTTTACTATACTGACGTTACAAATGTCCAGGTTTTCTTTTTTTTTCACGTCCGAAGAAAAAAGGAAGGCGTTGTCATGCAGCGTAAAAATGCAAAAGGTGTATCGTACGGCGCAAAATTGTACGACGTAGGTGTTGCGTAAAATTTCACTTCAGCCCAAGCTTTACGAGATCTACCTCTCATAACTAAAAGGTAGAGAATTACTGTAGGTGTTAGCTCACAAGTCGACTGGCGTGCCGAACCATTAGGAACATGCACTTCTTGAATGGAAGCAAATACGGTAGTTAGTGAGCTTACTAACTTACCGGACAGTTAGGGTGTCAAAATAACCCCCTGTATAAAGAAGCGACGAGACGATGTCGCGCCTATGTAGTCATGTGCCCCCATTCTTGAGACACATGTACTTATCTTGTGGACAAAACTGCTGAGAGAGTTGCTGACTTTCTTCCCTCTCACTGGATTTGGATGTATGCCACTAGTCCTAAGACATGTATCTCTATCTTGTGGACATCCGGCTCGAATACCGGACCATTTTGGCTCGAATACCGAAAACCCCTTTTCATCTTTTTTACTTTGTTAAAGTCAGGCTAAAGTTTCAATGACATATGGAGGGACATTAGACCAACGATGACACGATTGAGAGGAAATCTTCCCCTTTTATCCTTTTAAAACCGATCTCTTCTCATGACTTGACATCACCCAGAACACCTTTACTTGTAAAAGCGTTCTACAATTGCAAAGGATCAATATAGATTCTTTAGCGTGTTAAGACTAGCAAAAACTTTTTCTAGCCTTAATAGCTACTTGTTTCAAACACTTAGCAAACCAAGGATTGTTTCGGCATCATTAAACATTTTTGAAAGATTCTCTATTCTTTTAGAACTTTGCGGAATGAGTCTCGGATTTATTTCCTTGACTACTTTGATCATCGTCTATTCTAGACTCAATCAAAGTAGGGGCTAACTGTAGACACCTACTATTGGCCTCTTATCCTGAAAGGAAGTGCGATGATGTTACTAAAATCCGTTCTTCATGTTAGATCAAAGTTGAAGTGTGTTTGGACTACGAAAAGCGTTATGAAGTAAGTTAAAACCCATATTTGATACCAAGTTATCTTAGAGCCTTTTTCTATTACTAATTAGGCATAAAACGTGTTCATACATGTTTAAACTTGATTAATAACGGACCCAAATGCGTCAAATGCAATGATTGGATCCAATGGTACCTACATTGTTGAAAAACCGAGCCAAACAAATGAACAAAATATCAAATTACCATTCAAGGACTATGAAGATGGATAGCCCTTTCAAAAAGCTTTCCAACGGTATATTATAAGCCAAATTCCGAGCCACATTGAAGAAGTTATGATTAAAACACTAAAACGGGCCCTAAAACCGACACCCTTGCACTACAACGGCCATAATGTTTGATCAATAACATATTTTAAACTGATTCTAACGGCATTGGAAATTAGACATTTAGATCTTTCCAGTTATATCTCACACGAATTAATCCGACTTTGCAATCAAACGTTATGGAAGTTTTAAAAACGCGTTTTCGTATAAGGCAAACCGCAAACCAGCGCAACTCAATCAGTTGCGCGCGCCTTGCGCGTGCGACTCATTGAGATGCGCGCGGCACCCATCGCGACTAAAAGAGTTGCGCGCGCCACCTTAAGGCGCGACTCTAAACCCTAAACCTAGATCCCTACGCCTATAAATAGGGGTCTTCGTTCAGCATTACGTGGACAGAAAATTCAGAATTAGAACACTAGTATTATTAAAACCCTAATCTCTCAACATCGCCTACTATCATACTACTTTTTCTTCTTTGTTCCCAAATACTTTCAAACCCTAATTGAATCCATTGAAGTCCTTGGAGGTAAAAAGAAGAAAGAATGTCCATAAACACATTAAGCAAAGATCTAACATAAAAGAAGAACGGTTACTTTCCTGAGCAATTAGATAAATCACTTTTCTTTTATTGTTTAAATAACTTTAATTGATTAATTAGTGTTGTTTGATCAATTTAAACAAACATTTAATTGATTAATTCACATAGTACTCTTTATTTAATCAAGACTATAATTTGAATAATTAATTGTTGTTTTATCACTTAAGACAAGGCGAATCTTGTTTATTTATTGTTATTTCACGAATATTATTACATAAGAATAACAACTTTTGCAATGTAATTCCTACGTGATTAATGCTTGTAAATAAAATCAACTAACTAAGTCTTTAGGTATCACGTTGCATATATTGTTTGGTAATGAAATTGTGATAAAGGAAGAGCTAGTAGAGGTCGTACTAAAGCTAAGATAACGATTCCCCTCTAAAGGGGACATTATCTTAGTACTCTCGCTCCAAACTCATTTCTAGTTTATGTAGACCAATTTGGGCATGGGTAAACTTATTATTCGTGCTAATTATCCCTTGAACACTACTTGGGGGAAAGGCATGAACGAGGTTTATGAGTTTTCTTAAAACTCATTGGCGACTCCTACTTATTTCTTACAAAAAAGCGTGATGAAAGTATCATTTTTAATTCAAGGTCTCCAAAATAGTCAGGAATTCAAATCCTAATACACCCTAATAAGTGTAAAGTCCTAGGATTTGAAGTGGGCATGGGCATCTAAGGAAGGACCCCCTACAATGGGTTCACCCTCCTTACAATAGGCTTGTCGCATACCTAACAAAAATAACCTAACAAGACCACTACTATGGAGACGGGCAAGTAAGGGTCAGATCCCAAGAGACTATGGTTCAACTAATTAACTAGACTTAAGTAACCACTAAGCGAGTAACCAAATCAAATAAGTGAGAATTAATAACTAAGGAACTAATTAAAACGATTAAATCTAAGTAATATGAAAATTAATGCTAAAAAACATCCAAGATCAAGCATTACCACGAATACAATTACTACAATAGTCGTTCTACCCCTAACATATAATTCAATTAATTAATGAGGAAAAGTAATCCATATACAGTACCAATGGTCTCTCCAGAGTTATCAATGGCTTCCCTAATCACAATCAAGCCTAATTCTGTGGAATCATGTAAATTAAAGACTTTGAGAACATTACTATAACTTCCTAATCAATCATTCAACTACTCTCGTGATGAACTTCAAACCCATAATTGATTTATTCAAACCCGTTAAAACCCAACTCCCGTTGCGATTAAAACAATGGATTAATAACAATAATAATTATCCCTAATCTAGTATTGGCATGAGCACAATCAATTAAGCATATCAATTGCAATTATCATTAGAGAATTTAAAGAATTAAATCATGCATCAATCATATTCGGGTTCGATAGATCTTGGAATAAGGGAACTACTCACTCATATTAATAAATACAATAACAAGAATTAAAGAAAACATAATTAATAATGAAAACAAATTAAAGAGAATAAGAAAATATCAAATCTTGAATTAGGAGAGATAAATGAAGAAACTTGAGTGCATAATCTTTAATTACAATGAAAATATAGTCTAGAGAGAAAACTAGGGTTCTAAGATGATAGATAATGAAAAATATAATCCTCAAGAGTATTTATAAGAAGGATAAAAGATAAGATTAATTAAAGAAAGAAATCGGATTTAAACCGACTAAATTCGTCCAGGCATGGGCATGTCAAATTCTGACATGGGCGTGTCTCGCTGGAATGGCACTCACAGCAGCTACGACATTCGTAAAGACACGGGCGTGTCTCATATTGGCACGGGCATGTCTTGCTGGGTCAACATCACTCGATGAGGCATGGGCATGCCCACATTCAACACGGGCATGCTTCCCTTAGCACATGGCAGCTAGCTCGAAACACTCGACTCCACATGGGCGTGCCATAGATGAACATGGGCGTGCCTTAGATGAACTTCAACTTCCAAACTTACTGCCTTCTCAAAAAACATTAACATGCCCATGTCTCTGGGTGACATGGGCGTGCCTGGCTGAAGAATACCCTTTAATGAATTTAGCTTCAAACTTTGGCTTATAGGTGAATTCCAAGCTATGATCACAATCCACAACTTCGTAAAACCTCCAAAAATCTTCGTTAAATCTTGAAATACATCAAAAACAATGAATCTACCCATAAAAGCATCATATGATCACAACTAAATCAAATAAAGCCAAAATAATCCATGAACAACTAATCTAGACTTGGAAGCTACCTATTAAGACTCTAAAAATATGTATTATACACGACTTATCACACCATCTAACTCTACTCCTCATTCTACCTCAAGTAATCTGCCAAGTGGTTGTGTCTTTTGTGATGTTTGTGGGTCTTATGACCATGACTCTTCTAATTGTCCAAATGCTTTTGAACATTGTGATGATGTTGAAAACAATGACAGTGAGCAAGAGAATTTTGTTTCCAATAATAACAATGGACAAAGATTTGGTGGCCCAAGGAATTTTGGGAATAGGAATACTCACCAACAAGGTAGTTTTAATAACTACAACAATGGTGGTTATAGGAACCAAGGAAATCAAGGCTTCCGAGGTAACTATAACAATCAAGGTTATAGTAATCAAAACCAAAGCCAAGGGTATGGAAATCAAAGCCAATCTCATGGTTTTGGTGGCCAACACCAAAATTTTGGCAACAATCGAGGTTGAAGTTATTGGAACAATCAAAATAAGGGAAATTTTCAAAACAACAACCAAAGGGCACCCCACCCGGATTTGCTCCAAGACCTCAAGGCAATGGTGATAATTGTTTTGCTCAACCCCCATCTTCCAAGACTACCTTAGAGGAGATCATCGAGAACCAAATCAAAATTTTGAAAACTTACATGTCGGTGAGTGATAAGAAGTTTAATAAGATGATGACACACTATAAGATGCTTGAAACCCAAATCACTCAACTAGCAAACACTTTGAAAGATTGTGATAGCCCCTCTTCATTACCTTCTCAAGGAGTTAATCCTAAGAAACCCGTTTATTCTATCACCACAAGGAGTGGAAAAGTGTTTGAAAAGAGAGTTTCTAGGATTAGTGAGGAGGATGAGAATAACAGTGATTCAAGTGACGAAAAAGAGAAAGATGTGTCAAAGAGTGTGAGAAAAGAGGAAGTCCATGAGAAAAAGAAGAGTGTTGAGAGAGTGCAAGAGGAAGTGAGAAAACCCAACCTTCCATATATATCCCCAAAAGTTTATGAGAAACAAATTAGATGAACAATTTGGGAGATTCCTTGACATGTTGAAGGAGGTCCATCTTTCTATCCTTCTCACCGAAGCTATGACCCAAATGCCCAGATATTCAAAATTCCTTAAGGATATCTTGAGAGTCAAGAGAGAGTGCAATGAGATAGATTCAGTAGAGCTTGGTGAGTGTTGTAGTGCCTTGATTCACAATGACCTACCAAAGAAGATGAAAGATCCGGGTAATTTCTCCTTTCCTTGCAAAATCAAGAGTAAGTTGTTTGAAAATGCATTGTGTGACTTAGGTGCCAGTGTTAGCATTATGCCTTACTCGTTGTTTAAGAATCTTAAGCTAGAAGAACTTCTTCCTACGAACATGACCTTGCAATTGGCTGATAGATCCATTAAGTTCCCAAAAGGAAGAGTTGAGGATGTTCCCCTTAAGATAGGTGGTTTCACAATTCCCATAGATTTTATTGTGCTAGAAATTGAAGAGGATGACCACATTCCTATTATTCTAGGGAGACCATTCCTAACTACCTCAAGAGCTTTAATAGATGTTAAGGGAGGCCGTACCACTTTCAGAGTTGGTAATGAAAAAGAAAGTTTTAAGTTAAAACCAATGCATGAATCCTTGTCTTTTGTGAAAGGAACCATGAATAATAATTCCCTTCGTTCATTGGATACTGTGTGTGTGATTAATTCATCAACTAATGGTGTTCATGAGATTTTTGATGATGTGCTTGTGAGGTTGGATTGCATGAAAGTTAGTGAAGAGAAAAAGGAGCTTCCAAAGGCTATGGACGAAGAGGTAATTGACATTCCGCATTGGTTTGAGCTTTGTCCTCAAGAGGAGGATGATGGTTCCAAGGAAGTTGATGGTGTTAAACCGTCTACAAGAAGGAACAAGGCCAAGAAGAAGTCAAGGGCTTCTAGGAAGAAGCGAATGAGATTGAAGTTGAAGCATGAGAAAGTTATTTTTGAAGTTCAAGAAAATGAAGTTTCATCAAGCAACAATGAGGAGTTGCTAAAAATTGAAGAGAATTTGTACCTTTCGCCACTTTGAATAAGGTGGTGTCCTTTAACACTCCATGATTTGGAGGAAGGGTCGAGCTTAGGACCATAAGCAAGCACTTCCCGGGAGGCAACCCGGAGATTTCTAACTTTTCTTTTGACTTCTATTTTCTTGATTTTCTTTCTTTTATTTTCTTTTCTTTCACTTGTTTTTCTTTTGGATTTATAGGGTGAATTCATGGAAATGGATTAATTCAAATGAGCACGAGAAATGGAAAGGTGTTTTGCGGTTTTTAATGAGATTATGTTCGATTTTATCGAATTTTGAGGTAAAAGGGGTGAGAAATTTTAGTGAGGTAAGATAAGGAAAATTGTATTAAAATTTGAAGAAGTTTGAACTTGGTGAGTTCATTGTGGTGCTAGCATTATTTTGGGATGTTGAACCCACATTCAACATGTTTAGAAACTACCGTATTTGGTGGGTTCAATAGCCCCGGAATGATTTTGAGCGAAAAGCCCATAGATGAACGCACCAAAAAAGCAAGAAGATTGAAGTTTTGACAGGCGCGGGCGCTCCAAGGGAGGGCGCAGCCGCACACGACATGGGCGCGACACGGGCACGGGCGCTGTGACAATACACGGGCGTGGGCGCGACCCGCGCGCACCCCTGCAGCAGCCGTACCTTATATTCTTCTTTCCCCTTTCTTTTCCTCATTTCTCCTTCTTCCCTATCACACTCGAGCGCACCACTTCTCACTCATTCACAAATCGCACAAACCCTAAATCCCTCTCATAAAATTTTATCACATAATCAACCAAATTTTCATCAAAAATCATCAAATCTTCCTACATTTTCATCATTTTCAACAAAGAATACACTACTTCCATCCATTTCAATCTCCAATCTCTTTCATCCATTGTTGTAGCAATTTGGGGTTTTTAAATTTTGAGAGAATTGGTGGCCAAAACTTTTTCAATCTTGCACCTTGTATGGTATAATCATCTTCTTTTACTCTTAATTGCATTATTATATCATATAGTTTCTAGTAATAGATGGTTCATGGTTGTGAATAGTAGTAGTATGAATTTTAGTGATTTTGATGATTGATATTGAATTTTGGATGATTATTTATGTTGTTTGTTGATTGTTATTGCCTCACATTGTGTTGTTTGATGTTTTTGTAACTAATTTGAGCATGTTTTTTGAGAATTGGTGAAATCGGATTTTTGGTAGTATGATATCGGTTTGTTGAGCATTAGTTTTTTGGTTTCATTGTGATTGGTGATTAATTGGGAAGCAATTGTTGATTTTAATTGGTGGTGATTGTGTAAACTTGAGATTGTTTGATTTTGGTAGTAAGTTGTTGATTGGCGATGTTGGTAAAGGAGTGTGATTGTGGCATCTTGAAGTGTTGGTTTGTGTTTTTTGTGGTGTAGTGTGATTGGATATTGAGTTAATATCTTCGGGGGATCACCATGTCTAAACACATAAAAAACCTTCTCAAGAAACGAAAGACCAACGTAACCATTGAAGAACCCACTCCTACCCCCTCTACCTCACAACCTTGCCAACCTACCCCTATTCCCAAATTACGAATCACCGACCAATCACTAGTAGAAAAATACAAAAAGGAAACCCCCAAATGGCACCGGTTCAGACCAAACCGTTGCCAAAAACCGCCCAAAAAATGTGCAGGATTTTAGACCAAGAGTAATGGCACCAGTTCAGATCAAACCGGTGCCAAAAATACAAAGGGCACCGGTTTGAACCGGTGCAACTGAACCGGTCCAACCTTTTTAAAAAAAAAACGGAGCATTAAACCCTAAGTTCTATCCGCCTCCATTCCCCCCATTTCCTCTCCTCTCCTTCTCTCTTCTTTATTCTTTCATCTCTATCGATCTCCTCTCTCTCATATTCTCCCTTCGATCTCCTCTCCCCTTAGATCTGCAGCAACCAAAGCTTGAATTAGCACAACAACAGTCGCCGCCACCACCACAAAGTTCGAGCACCACCACCGGCATCAACATCAACAACAATTTCTGGGATTTTTTTTCAAGTTCTGGCTTTTTTTTTTCGATTTTAATTGTTTTTGTTTTCGATTCACCAATTTCGATTTTGGTTTTGTTTTTCATATTTGGTTTTTTTTTCGATTTTGGTTTTTTTTTCGATTTGTGAGATTTTTTTTTTCAATTTTGGTTTTCTAGGTTTCAATTCTGAGTTTGGTTTTTGATTTTGGTTTTTTTTTCCGATTTCTGGGATTTTTTTTTTTATTTTGGTTTTTTGGTTTTCAATATTGATTTTGATTTTGATTTTGATTTTGGTTTTTGTTTTCGATTTCTGGGATTTTGTTTTTTATTTTGGTTTTTGGGTTCCAATTTTAATTGGGTTTTTTTTTCCGATTTTGATTTTGTTTTTTTCGAATTTTTGGTTTCTTTTTTTTGATTTCAATTTTGGTTTTTTTTTGTTTTTGATTATTTTTTTTAATTTCGATTTTAATTTCTGTTTTTTTTCCTTGGTTTAAACTTGAATTTCTAGGTTTTTTTTTTCCTTGGTTCAAACTTGAATTTCTGGGTTTTCTTTGGTTCAAACTTGAATTTCTGGTTCAAACTTTTATTTCGATTTTAATTTCGACTTGAATTTCTGGGTTTTTTTTTTATTCTTAAGCTTATTGTTACCAATGGATTTTTTTTTCTGTTTTAATTAGTGCAGGTACAGATTATGCAAGAATATTGATATGTTCATATTGTAATTTTGTTTTTGATTTACGAGTATATTATAATTTTTTTATGATTTATAATGTAATTTTTTTTATTTATTTATATGTTAGTTGTAATTGATCTATATTGTAATTTGGCATTTGATTATGTATTGTAAATTTTGGATTATATATATTGAAACAATTCGATTTTTGTTGTGATTGTTATTTTTTTCAGTTGATTTAATTGGTATGTGAAAAAAAAGCAAAAAAAAAATAAAAAAATTTTTTTTTGGACATTTTTGGCACAGGTTAACCGGTGCCAAAAGGAGGATAAAATTTTTTTTGAGTATTTTTGGCACCGGCTAACCGGTGCCAAAACCTGTTTATGGCACCGGTTTTGAACTGGTGCCAAAAAGGGGGGTAATTGGCAACCCCCACATTGGCACTGGTTCAAACCATTGCCTTAGGCCGGGTTTGAACCAGTGCCAATTTCATTTTTTCACGTAGTGAATTCCAAAAAGCAAGATTCACCAAACTAAAAGATAACTGCTCCCTTAAACCCTCCCGACATTACTCCCAACCGGATATGATCAAGTTGGGAATTGATGAAGATCTAAGGAAGTTGCTCAACAACCTCCGCATGGGAACATTTGTGAGTCGTAGCTTCCGTACTTATGTTCAACCTACTTTGGAGTTTTTGGATACGGTGGATCTTGTTGTAGTTGAGGGAGGAAACTACCGAGTTCGATTTCAACTCTTCAACAACCATTTTGATGCGGCTCTTCACTTCGATCTGAATTCGGATATTTTGGATCCCAAGCTCTTTTTCAACAATGAGTATGATCAAAAATCATGGTGGGATGTCATTACCGAGTGTGGTGACTTTGAGACCTGGTATGCCAAGATTAGTAAGGTGTTCCAACCTTGTCCCCGAGTTCTCCATCGGCTTTTGGGGTATTCGGTATTCCCAAAGAAAGAGTTAGGCAAAATGAGTCAGTTAGAGCTTCAGATTATTTGGTTGGATACTCGTGAGGAATACCGAGGTTGGTTATATTTGGGGTACACCTTTGTGAAGTACTGCCAAGGTTTGCAAGATAGGGAATCTGGCGAGATTCCATGTGGTAGTATGGTCACAAGGCTCGTGACCAACCTTGAGCTCAATCACTATTTTCCATCTTGTACTCTGGTGAGAGATGTTGATTCTTTCTACCTCGACATCAAAAAATTACAGCAAATTCAGTTTTTGGCAAAGAACAATGATGACAAGGTGTTAGATTAGCTTAGGGATAACAAGCATTGGTGTTATCTCCCTAACCCCTCCTTGACTTCTCTCCATCGTGAGAATGTGGAAAATATTTAGCAAATCCCCTTGAGTCATATCCCACCCTACCATGACGATAATGAAGAGATGGGTGAAGAAGAAGAAGAAGAAGAAGAAGAAGAAGAAGAAGAAGAAAAAGAAGAAGAAGAAGAGCCGCCACAACATCACCAACAACAATAAATTCCGCATCAACAACAACAACAAAAAAAACATCATCAAGAATAACAACACCAATATGCTATCTCCGACTTGGTATGCAAATCCGGTTGGAGGGTTGATAAGTGACTTTTATGTCACTTTTAGGGTATTTTTATGCTTATTTTTCGGTTTAGTTTCTAAAAAATTTCCTAGTTTTAGGCTTTATTTATCTCATTTTCTTATTTTCCTTATTTGATCTTTATTTTGAGTATTTTTTAGTTTTTAATAGTTTTTAGTTTATTTTTGTATTTTTAGTTAATAATTTCTAGCTTCTCTCTTTTTCTTATTTATTTTAGTTTGGCATTTTATTTTATTATATTTTATTTCCGATTCTAACCTCGTGTTTGGTTTTGTTTGTTGGAACGTTTGGGTCAAGGGCTTGGTTATAATCAAAGTCATATTCGAAAGTCCAAGGTCAAATGTTCTAACAAGCAAAGTCGAACTCCCTCACATGCTCACACACCAACACTGCTGCCCACCTCTTATCCTTCACCACACAACAACCTATCCTACACCTCACTTCCCTTTCTCCCTCACTTGCTATCACCAGCCAACAATAATCTGCAACACAACACAACAACACCAACCTACCCTGCTTCCCTCAACAACACCAGCATGAGAATGATCCAAGATCATCTCTATTTTAATGATTGCATGAGAATGAGTTATTAAAGTGGAGTTTTATGGATTGTGCTTCTTTATTCTCTTGATTTGATTGTAACTAATACGATGCATGAGAATGATCCTTATAAGTATAGACCTTTTTCATTGATTTGCCTAGAATATTGCATGAGAATGAATTGTTTAGGTAGAATCTTGTGTTCTTTGGCATGT